TGACAAATCAGACCCTCTTCTGGCGACCATTGACATCACGCCTAAATTCAAGGCGTTGGACGCGGGACGTGGTTCTCTGTTGAGGGCACTCATCGACAGCGGAGATGGCATTTCTAACGTGGAATCGGCGACAGGCAAGAAATGTTACATTATGCGGGGAACACGTCAGCCAAGAAAGTTCATGGTGAAATCGAAGACATGATTATGTGCTGAGAAACATGACGGGCATTGAACCCGTTCTGGAAAGAGGAGTCCGACAGTTGCCCGCGATGGTGCTCAGGATTCGAAACCGTGAGAAAAAGGATTGTTCTCGCTATTGGCTGAACTACCTCATTTGGGAAAGGAACCCAGTTTGAAGAGCGGTAGCTAGGCAGGACTGGGCAAAGGATCGGAGTGGCTATAGTTCCTGGTGTCGCAAGCACAAAAGACCTTCGGATTGGTAACAGAGTGGAAATAAATGGAAGTGTGTCAGCAGATACATATCAACATCAGGAAATAACGGGCATAGTATGGCTTCTGATATGCACTTTTTTCATTTCGGTTTTCAAACCCCGTGAACCATTTAATTTATTCGCGGGTTGCTAGACGTCAAAAAATGACATGCTTGATTCCAGGATAAATTAGCCATTGCCGTTTGTTGAAGTAAATTGTTTCACTGCATGTCTTGCATATACTGTATGTTTTTTTATATGTTTTCGCTCATTCGGTTGATTGTACATAGTGTGAATATTCTGCAAATTTTTCGTCTATTTTTGCCTACAACTTGTCGGATTGTATCCTTTTGCAGGTGTTTAGTCATACTTCCTATATTGATGCTAAGGTATATAGGTCCTTACTCTCAGTTCCATCGCTTTCTAGGTCACCTGTCGCTTATCACCGTTGCTCACCGAGTGCTAACTAAAATCCCCGGTTGCAACGTCGCGTGCGGAATTGGCAGAGAACTGTACGCAGCCAAACACGCATTTCTGCGTCTGGCCATAATGCCTCCTCCTGAGCCTTCTCCGCGTTTTCTAAGATGTCGCGATTGCTCTGTCCGGCAGGCAAGCAGGTGTACTTTCTGTAAAGACGCCGTTTTTCAAAAGGGTACTACATATTTCAGTGGGTTGGTAAGCTAGGAGCTGAGCCTTCGGCTTCTGAGATGATTCGCAACAGTTGGCTAAGCCAACCTATGAAATGTTGCATGCCGCCACAACTGGGAATTCCTACCCGACATCATGTCTCATCGGGTGCTTCGATTTCGACCGAGCGCTAGTGAAGTATAGGTTGGCGCTGCAATGTGCCAAAGTAGCCCGATGGCCTTCTCCTCTAAAGACACATAAGTTCTGAGTATAACTGCATAGCGCGCATTTTTTTCTCTCTTGGAATGTAAATAGG